CATGACCCATCTTGTATTACTGTTGCCATTTCTTGTCACCTAATTTCCCTCGACTGCCACTTACGCCACCTAACTCGGGACCCCCTCTGACTCATGTTTGGATTTCTAGAACCCCACGTGTCTGACATGTGTATAGAAAGTGCGCAGTAAGTGTTTTCAGAATGACTGGGTCCAAGGTGACCGCCTGCTCTCTCTCCTGGTCCTGGTGAGACTGTCATAAGAAGAGGTCATCAGACCCACTGACTGGGACAAAGTGACATGGGTATGCCCACTAATACCTCCAGGGGCTGGGGCCTTAGGACCTCTGCTGCCCTCCAGGGTGAGCCAGGTCCACTTTCTGATAGGAACCCTTGCTAGGGGCCAGGTAACCACCCCTTAGCCTTAAGAAAATTCCAGCAGGGAGCAGGGGCAGAGGTCATGGCAGGTCAGTTATACACAGGGAACAGGGTGGTGCAGAGCTCTGGTGCCCAGCATCCCAGGCTAATACTGCCCATGGTTGGAGGTGAAGGGCCCAGGGTCTCCTATCCCCAAAGCCAAGCTGCCTGGCTCTGCTCCTACCTGCTCTTCCCTTAACTCACCAAAATAGCTCGTTTATTTTCTCCCCTTCCCCCACTCCACACCCCACCCCAAATGTGACAATCAGAAACACCTCAGCATTCAGAGACAACATGTTCAGAGACAAATGGTCTGTTCGGAACAGGAGAACAAAACAAACCCAAAAGGAAATGGGAGGCTGCCCCGAGGGCAGGGTCTACGGGGAGGGAGGCCTGCAGCCCTCAGCCTGGCCCCTTCCTGCACTTCAAGAATGGGGCAGAGGGGCTGCCCAAGGCAGGCTGGCACTGCCCTCCTGGAGAGCTCAGAAAGCCAGGGTACTGCCCTCCTGGGCTGGGGTTCCTGACTCACCCTAGCTCAGACAGCACAGCATCAGTGAGTCCCAGCCCTCACTCTAAAGCTTGTCATGACCACTGACCTGTACCCCAGGCAATGCCCAGACCAGAGAAGCCAGGGAACTTCCGAAGGGGGTGGGCAGGAATGGAGCACTGCACCTTTCCTAGAAGGCCTTGGTTTCATGCTCTGCCTGGGCCAGAGAACTTCCCCTAGTCTTTTCTCCTAACCACGCCTCCCTTCATTTTTCCTATGGAAATTTCACAGCAAGAAGAGAGGTTAGACTTGAGTAATTCTAGGGAGTGAGAAGTAAAGGGAGAGTTTAGAGCAGAGCGGAAGCAGCAGCTCTCTAGTGAGGGGCCACCCTCTAGAGGCCAGAGGTCCTCTCCAGGAAGAGGCCGCAGGAGGAGCACAGACTTAGACTCAGGGAACCTGAGTTTGGACGCTAGTACTACCGCAAGCGTGCGACCTTGAGCAAGCCCCATCAGGCCTGTTTCGGCATCTGTATACTGACATGCAGATGTGAACAACACCTGCCTCACCTGGGCCAAGCACAGGCCAAGCCTCCTACATAGTAACTGACATGTAACAAAGGGGAGGACCTGGCTGGAGCTACCTTCCTGGTGCAGGGAGTTCCCCTCCTCTACTCAGAAGGGAAACATCACAGGAAAAATGGGAAACATCAGAGGAAAAATGCACTGATTTAGCCAAAGGAGAGGAACTGTAATCTTTAATAAGACTGACAGCTGAGCTAAAGCCAGCCCTGCCCCAGAGACCTTGGAGACTAGGGTAGCGGAAGGGCAACCTGGGCCCATTCTTCAGGCCTCTTGTCTGCTCTCAGAAGAGAAGGTGCAGGATTCTATAGCTTTGGATGCTGCCAAAGCTCCACTGGGCCCCTTCGGGCTGTGAAGGCACCCCGGCGAGCCACCTGCCCTGGGCAGCAGGCAGTGGGCGGGCAAGGACAGGACCAGTCTGCTCCTTGTGCCTGTTCCCAGTTCAGGCCACAGAAACAGAACCACCAGCAGCAGCCGCCCATGGGCCCAGCCAGTTAATGGAGCAGGGGTGAGCATCCCAGCCCAGGAGCCTGCCAGTGGAACAGCTCCTTGGGCCAGGACTGTAGCTAGGCAACGGGCTCTCATAATCAGCTCAGTTCACTTTCCATTTGTATCCTTTTGCTCCTGTCATAATGCACTACTCAAATGACCAGGCTGCTGTGTGAGAAAGGAGGCCTCAGGGCAGAGCACTGCTCCTCTGCCCCGCTTCGCCCACTGCCCCACAGTGCTGCAGGCCCTTCCAGGGAAGAGGCAGCTATGAGCGAGGGAAGGTAGCACACATATCTTGGGGAACAGGGCTGGGAAGGAAGGGACAGGGTGACTAACCAGGGACAAATGGAGGGGTGAAAGTGCAGCCCCAGAACTCCCCATATGGCATATATTCTCAGGGCTGGAGGGTAATAGAATAAGTCTTCCTTCTCACATCTCCAACTGCCCCTGGGTTTTCTGATGCCAGCCACAGGAGGTACAGAACCTCAGAAGGACACCTCTCGGGCCAGAGTAAGAAACAAGCTCTCCATCTCAACAGGAGCCTAGTTCAGTGGAAAGAACGTGTTGTAATCACAAGAGCAAAGGCTTAGGAGTCAGGGACTCTGGCTTTGATTCAAAGCCCGGCCACTATCTGGCTGTGTGATGTCGGGCAAGTTGTTTACCTTCTCACACCCTCAATCTATTAAACGGGGATAATCATCGGGTTTTAGGATTACTGGGAGGATTAAAGATTAATGTAAAGTATATACAGCAATGTATCTGTCTGGGGTGCTCAATAATGAGCAGTTATTCATTAATTTTTAAAAATTATGTATTCCCACTTGTATGTCCGGGGAGCAGGTGAGGGCTTGCCTTTGCCTGTGCTCCTCAGCAGGAGGCAAGTCCTCTTTTGGCGCACGTGCTGGCCAGAGCTCCATCCAGATATTCACATCAGGATTAAGAACCAGAGGCTGGAAACTAGGAGTGGTTTCCTGGCTCTGCTATTAGTTCAAGTCTTTGGCAAGAAACTTAATGTCTCTGCATCCTGGTTTACTCAATGTTTAAATGGAAGAATTAACCCTGCCCGGTCACAAACTTCAAGACCTCAACTGGAATGCCTGGGCTGAGGTGATTCCAGGTCAAAGGGGCAAAACCCCTTGGGTTCCTGGAAGACTTCAAGGGGCAGGCCAGGCTCTGAGCTTACTCAAAGAGGCCCCCTGGCTTGGGCATTCAATAGTGAGTTAGGGAGAAAATAAAGTCAATGATACATGGGCTGCCTCTTGGAATTCCAGGAGGGAAGAAGAGCAGGTGAAAAACCCTCAGAAATCCTAGAATGCTTCGAAATAGGGCCTAGCTCCCCTAACCACCTCATCTCATCCCTGCTTCTCTAATTTGTCCCCTTTCCCCATCCCTCTCTCTCTCTCTCCTCCCCCACCCCCAACTTTGAAAGAGTCTGAATGATGTGTGCCTGTCTCTCTCCTCTAATGCAGACAGCCAAGTGCTAACACTAGCAAGGTTAGTGATCTACATGAGAAGCCCACAGAACTCACAGCAGACTCAGTCCAGGGGCATTACTGTGCCCTCACCTTCTGAGCCAGTCTCAGGGCTGCAAGAAAAGAAACCCAGACAACTCCCTCGAGTTTTGTTTTCAGTCCTGAGAAAGGTCCCTGCCTTCTTGTGCCTGCCTGCAGCCCCAGCCTGGTATGCCATGGCCCCTGAGACCTCTGCTCCTCCCTTCTCTTCCAGGCAGAATATGCATCTGCCCTGGTCTGGCATTTATGCCAGCCTGGCTTTTCCCTGCAGGCCTGTTCCTCCATTCCCTACCCTGCCTTCTTCTGTGACTAGGAAGAAGTCCAGCACAAGGGTGCTGGGAAAGGGAGGGTGCTCTGAGACTCATTAACATGGCAATTTGGGGTGCCAGAGGAACCAACCAGGTTCCACAGCAAGCAGCAGTCCCCTGACCCAACAAGTTACATTGCCCTTTCCTGTCTCCCAGACAGACCCTAGCCAGGCTTTAGGCTGCTGACCATAAGATCAGACACCATCCCCCAGAGCTTTCCTTCTTTAAAGAATCTAAAGTCATCCTTCAGGAATTTTTTTTTTTTTTTTTTTTTTTTTAGCTGTCCAAGCATAATGGGGTGAGTATCTCCTCCATTCCCTTCTTCCACCCAAAAGGATTAGGGAAACTGGATTTACTTGGGGAGGAGGTGGTAGGTAGGGATTAGGTCTTGCCTAAATCAATCCGTGCTTCCACCTTCCCCCATACACCCATTTCAAGCAGTAACCTGAACCAGGGCTTTCTGGAAAGACTGTGCTGCAGCAGAAAGAAAAGAAGCGGCAACAAAAATCTGGTATCACCAGGAAGCCTGTGGCTGGCCACTGGCCAAGCGAGCCTGCAGGACCTAGAACATTAGGCCCTTCCTGTTGAATTCTGCTCTCACCTCAGCTGAGGCCAGGACATCCCAGGTGTGCAGGAAGCCTTGGGGGCATGGCATGCTCCCTGGGAGAAAGAAGGCCTGGAAAGGAGGCTGAACTGTGGTCTCAGCTTTGCCTCTTATGAGCTGAAGATGCTGAAGCCTATGTCCCCCTCTCTGAAGTGCATAGTTGTGAGCACACTGAGAGCTGCTGGGAGGATGTAAATGGGGTGGTACGGCATGGAAGCATCTAACAAAACCCACCCCAGTTTCCTTCCTCTTAATCCTGCCCCCAGCAGAAGGCCAGATTCCAGCTCTCCAGGACCGCAGTCCTGTGCGGAGTGGAGGGCAGCCGAAGATAGGGCGGCCTGTGCAGACCAAAGAAGTGGGTGGAGGAGCTGAGCTGGGCACCCCACTCACTGGAGGGGATGCGGCAAAGCAGGCAGCTGGGACTAGGTCCAAGTAGTAAGTCAAGTGTGTGCAATCTCCTGATGGAGCGTGCAGGGGAGAGGGTAGGAGTGTGTAATTTTCCTGCGGGCCACGGAAGGGTTGAGAGGAAGGCGGGAACAACCCGCGGTGGTAAGGTAAGTCGGTCCCTGCTCCTCCCTGTCCCTATCCACCACCACCACCAGGGACCCCATGCAGACCCGAGGGGGAGACCGGGGCTCCTGCCACTCACCCTAGCCGCCCGGGAGGAGTAGGGATCCTCGAAGAGCGCCCACATGCGGGGCTGCCAGCCGCGGCAGCTCCCAGACCCGGCGCCATGGCCTGCGCCTCCCTCGTGGGGGCCCAGTCGCTGCAGGGCCAGCTCCCGCTCATCGTCGCCGGCCTCGTCGCTGGGCCCCGCGCCGCTGCCGCCTCCGTCCGGGCTCTCGAAGATGTCGAGCGCCTCCTCGGCGTCGCGGTGCTGCCGGTAGGTCATCCAGCAGCAGGGCTCCACGTCGGTCTCGTCGATGCCCCAGAAGGTGAGCTCCTCCTCGAAGAGCGGCCCGCACACGTCGGCGGGGCAGTGCAGCTTGCCGGTGCGGTAGTAGTTGAGGACGTAGGCGAAGACGCCCGGGTGCCTGTCGAAGAAGAACTCGCAGCCCCCGCCGCCGCTGCTGCCACTGCTGCCCGCACCGCCGCCATCGGTCTCCGGCCGGCCCCCGCCGTCGGGGTCGGCCAGCCAGGCGAGGCGGGTTCCCGGTAGGGTGCGCAGGGTACTGCGGTAGGTCTCATGTCGCGTGCCACCCACGTTGATGATGATCTTCTCCGACGCCTCGCCCTTGGCCATCTCCTCCTTCAGACATGTTTTGGATGGCGGCTTGTTCCCCGACTTGCGCCCGCGGTAGGAGGAGACACACACCGAGCTGATCATAAGAAGCGCTGCGGGGCTCCGGCTTGGGGCGGCCGCTGCCCTCCAAACACCCTTCCCGAGGAGGTAGCGTCAGACGGGGGGAGGGGAGGAGACGAGAAGGAGGCAGGAGGCGGCGGCGGCGGCCCCCTCTGCGGCGTGGCCCTGCCCCTGCCTACCCCCCCAGGGACGCGGAGCGGGAGGAGTTGGGTTTCTCCGGCGCACAGGTGGTTGGGGTTAGGGTAGGAAGCGCCAGAGAGAGGGAAGCAGAGAGAGGGAGGACCCGGGGAGGCAGAAGCAGGCACGCACGCGGTCCCCCGCTAGGACGGGACACACAGACGCTCTGGGCCGGAGACACGCCCCCGCTTCACCCCTACCAAAGACAAGGAAGCGCACAGTCCGAGCGCACCGTGAGGGTCCGGGGCGCGCGCGCTCACACTCACACGAGCCACCCCCCCGGCTCCCAGACCGCACCAAGCCCCGCAGCAGCCGGCTTCCCCGCAGCGGCGGCAGCGCAGCAGCAACAAGTCTTCCGAGCGGCTGCCGGGGCCGGGCCGACGCTCTCACGGCAGCCGGAGCTCCGCCGGCCCGGGCTGCGTGCGGTCAATACGAGGCGGCGGCGGCGGCATGTGGCCTCTTCCCCCCATTCATAAATCCAGCGCCGGGCGAGGAAGGCGGGCGGGGCAGAGCAGAGCGCGGCGGCCGGGCTGGCGGAGGCTGCTCAGGGCGAGGCGGCAGCTGGAAAACAAGCGCACCCGCAGGAGCGAGTCTCGGGTCCTGCGTCCGCGGCTGGGAGCTGCGCCGGACAGGGCGCAGGGCTGCGGGGGCCGCGCTGGGGCGGGGGGGCCTCAGACGGGGCGTCCTGCGCTGCGCCGAGCCTGGGGGGCGGGGCCGCTCGGGAGAGCCGGGCTCTGGGCACTGGCGAAGGAGCACCCGGGGCGGCGGCCGAGTGGCCGAGGACACCTGCAGGCTTCCCGGGCAGCGCGGAAAGGGAGCTTCAGCGCAACGCCCCGGCGCCGGGCTCCTGCGATCTGGCGGCGCCGGGAGCCACGCCATCTACGCGTCTCCCCATCTCCGGGTGGGGCGCCGGCCTTCGCAAGCGCGCGGCAGGGGGCGGGCGCGAGGTGGCAGAGGGGAGGGGGCGCGTAGGCGCCGGTGGGCTGGGGCCCTGGGGGGGGGCCTAGCTCAGCCTCCCGCAGCGGCCGCCAAGCTCCAGTGGCGCCTTTTCCTCGGGAGCCCCGCCTCACCCAGGCGCGCCCTCCGTGGGGCGGGGTGGGCGGGGCTGACCCGGCTCGCTGCAGGCCCCGGTGGCCCAGCGCAGCCTTCCTCCCGGGAGCAGAGGCCCGCCGAGGCGCGTCACCTCCTCGCCGCCAGTGCCCAGCCCAGCGCACCGCCCCTGCCCGCCTCCGCCGGCAGCCGCTCCCGTCCCTCTCGGCCCTGCTCCCCGCCTCCCCCCGGCCCGCAGCTCCTCCCACTGCAGCCCGCTGACACAGAAGCGCTCTCGACCCCTGACCTCTAACCTCCGCCGGTCTCCTCTTGCTGCGTCCGTCGCCCCCTCCTCGCCAAGCTGGTTGCATGTTTCACTGCGGCTGACGGAAGGCCAAGGAAGAAAGGGGGTAGAGACGCTGTCGCGAGCATCAGGCTGCTCTTTCCTTTCCCAGGCACAGTGTTGGGGCCTTCTGAGCACCCCACCCCGCATCCTGCGCCTCGGCGACCCAACGGAGTCCAAGACGCCCATAGTCTTGATGCTCTCTGCCTCGGTCTCAGCCACCACAGCCTCCGCGATGGAATGGGGGACGTGGTGGCCTTGGACAGAGAAGCGCCTCTTGGGCCCGATGGAAGGAAACCGTAGCTCTGGCTCTGTTCATAGCGAAACGTGTTATGGGTTATGGATGTGGGCTGGGTGGGTGACCCTGAAAGGCCATGAATTAAAGCTTTTGCTTGTCACTGCTGTGGGGGCCACATAGGAAGTGCCTGTGTCCTGCCTCGTGACCCCTCCTACTTCTACTCTTATTCCACCCATTGCAATTTGACTTTGCCTGTGTATATTTCTCGTCTCCCCTCCCCAACCCTGAGCCCCTACAGGCGGCGTTGTATTTTTTCATCTTGGTAGCTCCCACCGTGCTTGCCTCTGAGAACCTGTTTGCTAAGTGACTGCGAAGCTTCCATACCCAAAACATTAGGCACCCACTGGATTTTACTGGCCCTATCCCAAGAGCAACTTCCAGATTCATTTGTTTTTGTTAAGTCCAGAACCTATTTTACATCTTCATATTAATCCCCATTGGGTTTTCTTTTTCTTTTTTACTGCTTCAGGCAGCCTCCATGCTTGTCTGGATGATGTCAGAAGATCTTGAGGCAGAAATGACACACCTGCCCTAGACACCTGTCACCATCTCATTTCCCATTTTTGGATCAGGCAGTACCTAGCTCAACTGGGAAAATCAAGGGTCTATGTGTGCTCTCAGGAAAGGTTAAAAGCCCAGTGCCAACGCAAGGGAGTTTTACAAGCAAGTCTCATTATTAATGAGACCAGAAAACCAAAATGACAGTGATCTTTGATGATCTGTACTGATATGCAGGGGATGTGAGTTAATTAGAAACACACATTTACTGGCACCTGCTTTGTGCCCAGTCCCTGCTCCTCAAAATGATATTTATATTTCAGAGTTTAGCTGACTTTGAGTTTGCTGCCATGAAAAGAAATATCCCAAGTGTGACTGGGAAGAGAAGACCCGGGACAGGCCAGAAGCTGGAGTGAGGAAGAAGGAACCACAGAATATTAAAAAAATCATCTGTAATGAATAAGTTTCAAGTCCTATCTGGTCCGTGTCCTGGTAAAGTCCCTTAGGGTCTCTCCCCTGCTTTCTATTCTTCAGGATAACTGAACTCAGTCATTGTAAGAAAGGGAGTATAGTGGCCAGGGGAAAAAAACCCCATAGTATCCCACCCGCCACTGACTTATTCACTCACTGAATACATACTGAATACCTGCAAGATGCCAGAAGCAGTTCCAGGCACTGGAAACACATCAGTGAATAAAACAGCCACTTGCCCTAGGAAATCTGCCCAACTGGTGCTTTCATTCTACAGTGCTTGTGGATGGTGATGAACACCTGGGGAGATGGGTAGGGGGAGAAAGCTGCCGGGGAAAAATACCAGGAGGGAAGGGAGGGAGATCAGACAGTCGGGGTGCGGACATGGGAACCTAGGAAGAGCTGACAAAAGCATAGGGCCCAGCCTGGGAGAGGCAGCTGGGTAAAGGTGCTCAGTGCAGTGACCAGCTCCGGAGGCAGGAGCTCAGCCTCGGTCCCAGGCCTCCAGAGAGTGCCTCACCCTTGCTGAAGGTTTTATTCTAGAGCTCTGAGCTCACCTGTTACCTGTGACTTTCTGGGGAGTCGATATGCTGCAGTTAGCACATGGGACTTGTCCCCATCAGTTCTTTGCATGAGGTGTTGGTGTTCCCTCAAAACGCGGAGCACGGGAAAGACAGGAGAGCCCCCTGCCCAGCCCTCTGGCACAACCTACCATGGATGGGAGGGTGCTGCCCCCTTGTGGTGCTAGGACGTCCTGGCTCCGGACCTCGCCCTGGGCTCTAGGCTATGATGTGGGCAGATGGACATGCGGCTGATTCTGGGCTTCTTTTTGATTCCAGGACCTTGGTATTTCTCCCAGCCTAACTCTGCCACTGGGACTCTGCCTACTTCCTCCCTTCTTTCTTCTTCCAAGACCTTGATACCTGACAGACTTAAGCAAGACCACAAATCAGCCACTATTGGAAATTCCTAGTTCCCCAAGCTTCTTTCTCCCATTTTCACCTTTTCTCTGCTGTCCTCTCCTGGACGCCCTGGTTTCTTCAGGCTGTCAGGGAACAGCGCCTGTCTGAGAGCCAGTTCACAGACGGTGTCAGTCACGGTGGGTTTCCCTCATCAGGGGTGAGGGTGTGGCGAGAACAGGAAGAAAGCGTCATGAGAGATTCCAGAGGGGAATGGGGGCTGTCAAGCACCTGCACCCTTTCCAGGCCCACCTGCCACAAAAAGGTCCTCCCTCACCTTCTGAATGCTGAGGCTGCCCTTGGGAAGCTGAGAGCCTGGAATCAGCCATTCACCCTTCCTTTTCCCCACTCGGGCTTTGTATGGGCTCAGCCTCTTTAGTGACTGCAGCCATCCAATCTCCTCTCCATCTTCCCTCTTTGCAACCCCTTTGTTTTGAGGGTCTCCAGGCCAAGGCAAGGCTATCCACTTTCCCTTTTTTGGCATTCTGGCTCCTGCCAGAGACTGACCCTCCTCCTTCAGGTCCAGGCCAAGGAGCCAGCATCCTTTCCCGGCATGCCCCATTCTCTCCCAGCCTGGAAAATTGAATTGCTTTATCAGACTCATTAGAGGGTGATAGGGCCTCGCTGCTCATGGGGGAACAAGAGAAGGGAAGGCAAGAGCAGGCTGGCAGCCTCCTGTCTGTGTCTCAGCTCATTTCACCCTGCCTCCCCCAACCCCAAGCAGCCTGCAGACACTTGCATCTGGGGAGAACTTAGCCCTAGTGATCCAGGTCTTGTGAAGGTCAGTAGAATGGCTCTGCCTCCGGACTGAAAGCAGGGCTGGGTTGCTATGATAATCCCGGTGAAGTTGTGTCTGGGGTTCAAAGGCAGCCTTTGAGGGCCCAGCTCTTAAAGAGAAGAGAGCAGAAGCTCAGGCCTGGCCAGGGTTCAGGGCCTCATACACTATGGACCTGGAGTCATAGGGTTGGAGGGGACCTGAGTGTTAGCTCGGGGACACATTCCCCCCTCTTCGGGATGTCAGGCCTAAGCAGCAGCAGCGAACTCTGTCTGAGAGGCTGAACTAGGGCTGGGGTTGGATCAAGGACAGAGAACGATGTTGGGGGCCCGTAGCTGACTGGACCCCAGAGGCCTCCTTGTTTAAGGCTGCTGGGCTGGGCACTCGGCCTGCATCCAGAGAGCACCCGCAACACACACAGACACACACACACATACGCACGCACAAACACACGCCCAGGATCCGGCTGGCAAGACTTCTTGACACTTAGCATTTCTCAGCCTGCATCCAGAGAGCATCCTCCTCCAAGACAAACACACACACACACACACACACACACACACACACTAGCCCAGGGTCCAGCTGACAAAACTCCTTGACACTTAGCATTTCTCAGCCTGCATCCAGAGAGCATCCCCCTCCAAGACAAACACACACACACACACACACACACACACACACACACTAGCCCAGGGTCCAGCTGACAAAAGTCCTTGACATTTGGCATTTCTCCATCTAAAAAAGTACAGATTCCTCCCACCTGGGCTAAGTTCCAGAAAAACTGGTTTATTCCATCAGAGTAGTTAATTAGTCCTGATGGGCTCAGTCCCCTCCAGCAATGTCCTGGGGAAAGGGGGAGCAGCTGTCTGGAGAGGCAGGCCAAACTCAGGTTCCTCTTGGGTGCTCCCGAAGCCCAGGGATTCTTCCCTGCTTGGGTCAGCCCTGGGCAGAATGGAGGGACCCAGAACCCAGGCAGCTCAAAGCCAGGGACAGAGGGCAGATCCCCACTGAGTCTTTCTGCTCTGCAGCCAGCACTGTGCCTGGCATGGATCAATCTTCGTAAGGGTTTGTGGTTGAATGACAGGCATAGTCTTCTGCCGTTTCGAAGGTTTCTTTCCACCTAAGATGATGTAAATAAAGAATGCAATTAGCCAGGTGTGGTGTGCCTGTAATCCCAGCTACTCGGGAGGCTGAGGCAGGAGAATCGCTTGAACCCAGAAGGTAGAGGTTGCAGTGAGCTGAGATGGTGCCATTGCACCCCAGCTGGGGCAACAGAGTGAGACTTTGTCTCAAAAAAAATAGCAGAGTGCCTGGCACCAGTGAGTGTGTCAGTGGAGGAAACGCCCAAGTCAGATTGTGACTGCCTCTTCAAGGCGGGGACTCTTGCCTGGTCCTTTGTATATTCCCAGTGCTTAGCACAATCCCAGGCGCTCGGAATACCTGATTCATACTTGATGCATGGAATTAATGAGGCACGGGGATGGGGAGGAGTCCTCCCTGTCGGTTTCTTGCTGTGTGGCTGAGTGTACTAGATTGGGAGTCAAGAAACCCAGGCATTGGCCCCAGTCTCCCACTTGTTTGGTTGTGGGAATTCTGGTGAAATGTCTTTCCCCTTTGAGCCTCAGTTTCCTCCATTGTTATACAAGGAGGCTTGGCCAGATCATCACTAAGGTTCATGTCCCAGTTACTATTGTTGTGAAACAAATTACCCCCAGTATGTAGTGGTATAAAGCCAACAGCCGTTTCATTTTGCTCATTATTTTATGGGTCAGGAAATTAGGAAGTGCTCAGCTGGACAGTTCTTGCTTAGGGTCTCTTATGCAGCTACAGTCAGATACCAGCAGGCTGCAAACATCTGAAGCTCAGATGGGCTATAGGTTTAGTATGAGTGTTCATGTGGCTGGCAGTTGACACTGGCTGTTGGCTGGACACTCAGCTGAAGCTGTCACCCTAAACATCTGCAAACATATTGCCTCCCTAGCACGGCAGTCTCAGGGTGGTTGGCCACCTTACATGGCAGCTGGTTGCCTCTAGAGCCAGTATACCTAGAATACCAGGCGGAAGTGGCACAGCCTTTCGTAATCTAGCCTTGGAAGTCACATAGCATCACTTCTGCTAACCCTGTTGGTCAGAGGAGGCATTTGCTCACCCAGAATCAAGAGGAGGAGCATAGACTCCACTTTTGATGGGAGAAGTATTAAAAAGAATTTGGGGCCCTTTTTTTTATGAGGAAATCTCACTCTGTCTTTCAAGCTGGACTGCACTGGCTCAGTCTTGGCTCACTGCAACCTCCACCTCCCAGGTTCAAGCAATTCGCCTGCCTCAGCCTCCCAAGTAGCTGAGATTATAGGCATCTGCTACCATGCCCAGCTGATTTTTGTACTTTTAGTAGAGACAGGCTTTCACCATGTTGGCCAGGCTGGTCTCAAACTTCTGACCCCAAGTGATGCCCCCGCCTCAGCCTCCCACAGTGCTGGGATTACAGGCATGAGCCACCGCGCCTGGCCTTTTCTTTTTTTAAAAACAAACAACAACAAGAAAACAAAAACAAAACCCCACCATAACCTTGTGGTCCGTGGAATATTTGGGCTTGGCCCAAGTCCTGTGCCTGGAGCCGTCTGGCGGTGACTGCTCAGGTGAACAGGATAAGGTGCAGGGCAGTGAGACCCCACACCCTGGTACTCCCTTTCCTGGAGAGAACCTTTTCTCCCCTCCTTCCTTGACTTCTACAGATTTAATGCTGAAAATGTCCTTTGCAAATAGCTTTAGGATATGGGTCATTGCACAGGTGTCGGGGCCCCCAAAATAAAGCAGGCCCCATGGCTTCGCCCAGGATTGCAAGCAGGAAGGAAGGAAATATTTAATGGGCACCTATTGTGTCCCCATATGGAAATTAGTCTATGTTGTATTCCAGTAGATATTACTGATGAAGTTCATTTTTTTCCTTCATACCATCTCTAAGGAAGAGATTTTATTGTCATCCTTCTTTTACAGATCAGAAAATGAAGGTTCCGGGGTTTAAGTGGCTTCCCCAAGGTGGTATAGTGGGTGACAGACCCACGATTCAAACCACCCATGATTCATGCCACCTGCCCTGGGACACACCGGAGGCAGAAGCAGAAGCTTCACATGCCCTTCCACCTGCCCTGCTCATCCTCCTCCCTGCTTGCTCCCTCCACCCAAGGCCCGAACTTACTCACTCACCTCCCCACCAGAAATGACCTGTTGTGTGTCCCAGTTCCGTAGCTCTAAGCTGATATCCCCTCAGGAGAAAGCTTCCACCCAGATGCTGGTGACTAAAGGCAAAGATCCCTAACACTCAAGAATCAGCCCATTACACGGGCAGCCACAGATTCTCCCTGCTCCCCATCAACAAGTGGGGACTTCTGTGTGCCCTCCCCTTTATTCCAGCAGATGCTGCGACCCACAGGAAGTGGTGGAGGTACTTCAACCAAAAGACTGAATACAAGCAGTGACTTTCCCAGCACCAGGCCATTTCCCTGTTTGAAAGATACATGGGAGATGTGGAGTCGTCGGGCAGGGCTCCTCCCTCTGCCAGACTCAGGACCAGGCCTTAAAAACCTGGCGGCTTGCACCTCCTGTTTCTTGAAATGGTGTCTCTGGGGACCCTGAGCCCCTCAGTCGGCAGTCTGGCCGAGTACCCATGCTGGAGAGGTAGTGGCACTCTGGCCAGGAGGCCCAGCCAAACCCAGTCTTCCAGCCATTCTCACTGGGGTGCCAGGCATTTGAGTGAATGTGAGGGCAGCTGCCTTGGGCCCTGCAAACTAGTTCTCTGCTAGCTGGATATCACCGAGTGGCCTCAGTTGCCACCAGAAGGGTTGCTCAGACAAGTCCTGCCTGAATTCCTTACTCACTAAACTGTGAGATAGAATGGTTTTAAGCCACTCAGATTTGGGGTAACTTGGAACACAGCAATAGATAACTGGGCCAGCAGGCGTTATCTCGTTGAATCTATATATTATCTCTATTTTACAGACTAGGACATTTAAGCTCAGATGAATTAAGTGACTTGCTCAAGGCCTCACAGGAAGCAGGGAGCTGGGTGGCCTTTGAACCTGAATTTGACAAGTATGATTCTAGATCTCCTTCGCACCGAAGCCCTTGTTATGCTGCTGCGTCTTGGTGGGTCTGTGTGCCCCTCCTGGCAGGAGGCTCGCATCTCAACCAAAAACATTACCTTCAACCAAAAGACTGAATACAAGCAGTGACTTTCCCAGCACCAGGCCATTTCCCTGTTTGAAAGATACATAGGGAGATGTGGAGTCGTCGGGCAGGGCTCCTCCCTCTGCCAGACTCAGGACAGCAGAGCTGATTTTCACATCTTTATTCATCTATAGCTGGCATGGAGCCTGTCCAGAGTGGGTACATAATAAATATTTGTTCAACAAATAAGCGAACCCACAAGGAATAAGAGAAAGAAAGGCAAGCAGGCTACGATCTGGTGAGAAAGGTTTTCCTGCCATCTGGTGGCTATTCCTGGAACAACACTTTCTATAGCAAGAAGAAAATGGCAGGCTCCTTAGGGTCCTTGGCTGTGTGTGTCTGAGTGCAAGCAGCATCATTCCAGCCTGGAGCTGAGTGGGGTGGGGTGAGGCCTCCTCCAAGAGCCAGACTTCTTGCCTTTTTCAATGCCGGTGTTCCTGGAGGGTGAGGCAGGAAGAAGAGCTTCCCCGGCCACCAGCACGTTCTGTTCTTCACGGTGCTGAGTATTCAGTGGGTGTTTAATAAATGAATACTTGGTACTGGAATGTTAGAACAGAGGTGATATCAGATCCCCTAGTTCATCTTTACCTTCTACTGAAGTGTGCAGAAGAGATAACTATCCTGAAGAGAGGGGCAGAACTTAGAATATGCCTGCTCTGGGGAGCCCAGCCCAACACCCCAGCACGTGAGAGTCCCCTGCCTCCTCATCCTCACGCTCAGACCTCTGGGCACTGGCACCTTCCCATCACTGTCCTTCGCTGAGGTGGGCCTCCACACCCAACCCTTGCCAGGCTGACAAGTGTAGCTTTTCCTGGCAGGCAGGCAGGACAAGAGTTTCCTCTGCAGGGTCCCATAAGAGACCACTAAATACCATCCCCACTTCAGATGCAGCTTTGCCTGGAAAAATCCTGACAGCAAAGGATCTCCCTCAGGAAACTGTTGCAAAGAAGACAGAAAATTAGATCTGAGGAATCGCTGGACCCCAATAGGGCCTGCTACAAGTGTGTGCATTGTTACTACGTAGGTCGATTCCTGGGAAAATATAGACATGACCCTGCCCACCCCACCCCCCCCCGGCTACTCCTCAGCCAGCCAGCACCCACAACCTCCTCAGTGGCCTGTCCATCCATCCCAGTCCAGGCTTTTCCCCCAAAGCTTCCCGCAGGATCCTTGGCCACCCATCCCTCTCCCTGATTGCAAGAGCAGGGGAGAAAGGCAAGAAGGATTTGGTAAGAACAGACGCTTTATTGCACACCATGGCGGGGGAGAGAGGAAGAGGGGTCTAGGGTGACAATGCCTCCTCCCCTCCCCTGGGCTGAGTGGCTTGGACCCAGGGCTCTGATCAGCCATGGGACACATGGTCTTGAATTGTTCTGAACTTATGCCAGAACCCAAGGTGACGCCCGGTGTGTGTTCTTGGGTCTGTACAGAGCAGAGCTTTCAATGAGAAAGGGCCCTGGGCCCCCTTCCCAGCCGCAGTCATCAGACCCCAGTGAAGCAGCAGACCTCACATCTCAGGGCCCATTTGAAGGACCCAGGGATGCTCAGGGAGCCAGGTGCATTCTAACTGATTCAGTTGGCTCTTTTCACAGTGGGGAGTACTCTGGGGGAGTGGGGTGAGGAGTGGGGGGAGGAAGTGCAGAAAAGCAGTCCCCTGCCTGGTAATACTGCAGTGCCTGGGGCCATGGCTCCTGGGCCCCAGCCTCATGACCCACACAGGCTAACTTGGAGCAGGGGTTCTCCTGGCACTGGGAAAGCAGCAGGCCCTGCAGATGTATTGCTGGAGGGCAGAAGCCGACCTCACTGGCATTAACTGCTGTACCCTCCCTGTTCAGCCCCCATCTGGGCCTCAGGCTTCAAGTTGCCTCAGTGCACAGGGCGGAAGGCTCCCTGAGCAAGAAGCTGGTGATGGGGCTGGAGCGCAGGCACGGGTAGGGAACCAGGGGACTGTTGACTCTTTCAGGCACATCCCTGCCCTGGAGTTCCCTCTGCCTTCTGGCAGGCACTGTGTGGACAGCACCAAAGCCAGTGGGGGTGGGGACCCTGTGCAGGGACTTGGGGACGTGGTCCTCTCCTGCTGCCTCCTGTTCCTCCAGGATTCTGGGGCTGGGTCTTAGCTCATCAGGTGACCACACCTGCCCTTGACTCCAAAGGCGTCAGAAGCACAGTGGGGAGGGGGCAGGTGGCCCCTTCCAAACACTGTCAGGACTGTGTCAAGGCAAATGCAGCAGTGCCATGAGATCCTTCTTGGGGCCTTGCCGTCTTAAAAGTCCCAATACTTTTCCTCTGCAGAAGAGCTTTGATTCTACTGGGAACAGCAAGAAGTGACTGGTAAATAAATTTGAGGATTTTTTTCCCCTAACGCCCTCCTTCCCTGTTTCTGGCAAACCCAGTGGTGTGAAGGCAATGAGTCACCAGCAAGAAACACATGCCTTTCCCCACAGCAGGGGGCTCCAAAGGCACCCTGCCGGCCCTGAGGCTGCCTGCTGATAGAGCCAAGAGGAGCAAGAGGAGGCAGGGGGAGGGACCGCAGTCTTCAGGAAGATGGTGAACACTGGGAGTCACAGATCAGCAAGCTACACACACCCACACCCACGTATGTGCACACCACACACACACACACACACACACACACACACACACACGCCCCAAGCTCTGGGCCCTACGTCTAACACACAGCAAAGACACAGCAAAAGCCTACATCGAGCACTAGTGAGCCCACACCTAGCAAGCACACAGCCCCAGCTCAGCCCCTCCCGCTGGGGCCTGGCCCAGCCACACGCTACAAAATTAAAAATATATCAAATATACAATGAAAATAGATCTGTACAGCACTGAGGATGAAAATAGTCCACCAGCCACAGTATAATATTGGGTTTGTCATTTAACAGCATTTACACCCACATGTACAGAGTGAATATACAATAGAAATAGAATATATAGAAGAGTATATATAGTAGAGTGTCTCTCCTGGGGCTTTGCTTTCCTGTTGCTAATTCTGCTTGGGATTCTGCAAGGGGCCAGATAGGAGATGTTGTCAGGTGAGGGGGCCTACGGCGGGGTGTTGTACCCCAAAAACTCATCTCTTTGGGGAGATGTGGGTCTCTCTCTCCCCTCAAACACTCAGGAAGAACAGGTAGGGGAGAAGGGGCTAGAAAGGGGAAAGTGGAAGAGGGATGAGTAAGGGAGAGGGTAGGTTGGGGGATAGACCGCTCCCAGGCTTGGGGAGAGAGTAAGGAACTCGGGAGTAAAGAAGGGGACCCTGATTCTGGTCTGTCCCTCCAGGTCCTAAGAGCAATCTGAGCCACAAGAGTGACTCGGGACCCTTTGTGAAGGTGTCCAGGTTGAGCACTGTGGCCTGTTTCTGCCCTGCCCACCAGAGCTCTCAAAGATGAAGCCAGTATTCCCTCCTTTCTCTCTCCCTTCCTTCCTTCCTCCCCCCACCCCAACATCCATCCATCCATCCATCATCCATCCATCCATCCATCATCCATCCATCCATCATCCATCCATCCCTCATTCATCCATCCATCCATCCATCCATCCATCCATCCATCCATCCAACTCTCTGCAGGCATTTACTCGGGTCAGGTTCCTCCCTGGCTGCACTCTGAGAATCGGCTCTCCTCCAGAGGAGGCCCTGAAGATAATGGCGGGTGGGGTCACTGTTGCCAGCTGCAGCCCTTGCCTTTGGCAGCCTCTACTGTCCACAGCACTGCCTGTGGTGCTGGCCACTATGGGCCAGGGAGGCTTGGGAAAGGTCTCCAAGGTGTCTGCACATGATGTACTTGTGCAATAAGGAGAGTGAGTGGTGGCTCAAAGGGGCAGTGAATATCGGTCTTTCCCCAGGAGTGAGGCTTTCTGGTGATAAGCCCCTGAACTCCGGGGACCCCTGTTCCAGGGGAAAAGCTGCCACTAGACAGAACACTGGGCCCCAGGTGAGGAGGGTGGGGAGTGTGCTTCACAATTGTGCTCCTAACCATCTAGTTTGTGCTGGAAACCTCTCCTTGCACCGTTTCCTTCTCTCTCCAGGAAAGAGGCAGAGGCCACCACTGTGGGCTGGGGAGGGGTGCTGGGGACAGGGAGATGGCTAAGCCCTAATTGAGGTGGGAAAGGTTCTGGTCCCAGTCACTGCACTCCCAGGCAGGATGCAGGAGCTCATACCACCCACCCCAGGCAGGGCAAGGACATGGGAAGATTCCACCCAGGGACCAGGGCAGAGGAGGTTCCTCACCTTCTGCTACCAAGGCTCAAGTTCAAGCCGAGGACAGCACCCACCTTAGACAACAGAACTTGGGGCTTCTGTGTATACCCTTCCCAGTCTCAGCCCTGGGCCCTGGCACACCTGCTTCCACCTCCGCCTTCAAGCAGGTAGCCTTTTGAGCTGGGACCATCCCCGTCTGGGCTGGGCAGGATGGTGTCCTGTTCTCATTGCAGAGTGAACCAAAGTCCACTCTCCTTCTCCAACCCCAAGGCCCTCACCACCACCATCTGCCAGCTCAGGGGACCCCAGAGCCCTAAGAACTGCAGGTGGCAAGTTATAGAGAGAGAGGGAGGTGAGGGAGTTCTGCAGTGGCCACCTGGAGTCTCCCATGGACTGGGAAGCAAGGCTGATGGGTTGTTTCAATTACACGGCTGCAATCTGGCAGAGGCTTTTGGAGGGCTAGATAAGTGGGGTCCTGAATTGGGAAACCGAGCTGCTCCCAGCTTCCTGCTCAGGGCTAGGGAGTAGAGTCTACTGGGACTGAAGAGGGGAGTGAGGCAGGGCAGACCCTCTCTTCTTGGGCAAAGGGCCTGGCCTGGGCCTGGTGACCACCTGGAGGAAGAGGCCAGGCCTGGACAAGTGGGCAGGTTGAGCACTGGGGGAGAGGTGGGCAGGGCTGGGGCAGTGGTCAGAGCTCCGACTCAGGGGTGCTGGCCAGGAGGTAGCCGCTCCCATAGCGTCCATTGGGGTTACCGCTGGTCTCCAGGGGCGATGTGCTGCCGGGGCCCAGATAGGAACGGTGAGTAGGCATGGGGGAAGGTGCCTCACTGGGCACCTTGCTGAGGATGAAGCGGGTCTCATCATTCTCCTCCAGGTTGGAGATGTCCTTCATCATGCGGCCCTTCTTGTAGGACACGGAGAGCGTGTTGGAGCCATCAGAGAGCAGGTGAAAGTGCCGCAGGACGAACACCACAGGGATGGGCAGCGCCGCCACGACGATGAGGGTGATCAGGAGTGCCATGGCCCAGTTGGGGAAATACAGGTAGCGCTCGGCAGCCTGTGGATGGGCCACCTTGAGGGCTGCTGCCAACACTGCGACAGCCCTCCCCTCCCAGGTCCTCCAAGTCCGCTCTCCTGCCCTCACCCCTGGCCTTCCCCCCCTCCCCTCCCACCATCCTGGCCAGGCACAGGCAGGGATGGGGGTCGACAGGGGTTTACCTGGTCACCTTAGTGAAAGGGTCTAGGGTGGTTTCTACATCTATAAAATGGACTGATTTCACTCCACAAGCATGGAGAGAGAATATGGGTTAGAAAGACTGGATACGTGCATTAATCTTTCTAAGCCTCAGTGTCCCCATTTGTGCTACCAGGATGATGCCACCCCTGTCTTTGGGTTGTCGTAAGATTGCAGTTTAGGTGTGAAGGCCCTGGCAGGGCCTGGCACACAGCAGCTGCCCTAGAAAGGGGTATCCCTATCAGTGGTTGCCTTAAAGGCCTGGGAAGATGCAAGTGTCCCAGAGGTTTGGAGCCCCACCCCTCACCTCCTCCTTGATCCAGGCGCTGTAGCCCGGGGGTGTGACCCCCAGCTGGATGACGCTGGCCGTGGTGAGCACAGCCATGCAGAGCGGAGACACGAACTTCCACATGTAGAAATAGAAGCGGTAGGGGCGGAAGCCCAGCATCTCCGTCAGCTCCTGCATGAACCTGCCAGGCATCGCAGAGGGTCCAGCAGTTGGCAACCCTCAGTCACACCTCCCTCTTCCCCCGTCACCATCTCCTCCAGAAAGTCTTCCCAGTCCCTCCCTCTGGGCTCTTCTATTCTTCACATTCAGTGCTCATGTGCTCGTGTGTGTGGTCCGGCTGGCCTCCGGGAAGGCTCTACCGTCCTCCTCTAAGCCTCTGATTCTGTCACATCATGCCCCATCCAGGGATATGATAGAGGCCACCAGACACAGCCTGGGCAGGTGCACGTCTGTTTTTTGTATCGACAGCTTGTGTGTTCAGGGAGCGCTTAGCCCCTTCACCCTGGCCTGGCTCAAGACTTCCCCTGCTGGCAAAGCAGTAGAACTGCACTTCTCTAGTGTCCAAAGGTAGAGAGCTGCTCTGACTCAGGGGTTTCCAACCAAGGAGTGAGCAGAATCCGGGGAGGCAGCCAGGTTTGTGCTTGAATGACATACAAAAGAATCATCTTTACCTTAATAACACCTATCTGAAATCTTGCATTACTTTCTATTATATTATGAATGCAAGCAACCGCAGTAGTATTAACAATACCTGTGACTGTCACCAATCGGTTAAATTACAGATATTCTCATATTACATCACGTTATGGAAGATATCTATATTGATCATCATTGATTTTCATCACTACTTCAGAGTTACCATTACTATTAGCTCTGTAGCTAGATTTTATACCAATGCATTAAAGTACTCACACTTAATTACTATATCACAGATTTTAAACAGTATTTCGCTATTTTTCAATATAATTAGTTTCTTATATAATCCTACACATTTTATCTTATGCATTAAAAATAACGTTTTGAGGAGGAGTACAGGGGCATCATCAGACTGCTGAAGGGGTCCAGGACACAAAAACTAGCCCCAGTACCTTGTGGCAATGTCTGCAGCCCCGGCCCACCATGGGAGGAAGCAGAGGTGTGTCCTTTGCCCCCACCCCCCGGCCCCTCCCGTGCTCTCCTGAGAAGCAGATGGCCCCTGTGAAAGAGCCCCACTGCCAAACCAGGTCCAGGCATCAGGGAGCCTCAGATCGAGTGGGTTAGTGGAAGTGGGTCTTACCAAGGACAATGTGGCCACAGCCAATGCTGACTGAGTTAGAGGGACCTAGTCCTAGAACTCCTGGGAACACCTATGTGCCCTAACCTGAGGGATGAGGCCGAGAGCTGCCCTAGGCTTAGGCTGTGAGACCCAATCCTTTCGTATGGCAGAATCCTCTTACCCTGCATGACCCCACACTCGGGGCCAAAGCACACCTCATCTCATACCCCTATCTAGGTCCTTAACATTGTGAACCAGGCTGCTGAAAGTCTGCATTCTCTGAGGGCCAGGGCCTCTGGTAGACCCACTAAGCCCTTCACAAACGTAACAGAATTCTGAAGAGCTGGTACCCAGGAAAGGTGCTATGGTAATTTAAGAATGATGCCAGGACCGGTACCCAGTACACCCAGTCCTCAGCCTGGCTCTGTCTCTCCCTGGACAAGTGGCCTTAGGCAGTCATGTTCTTGCACGATGCCTCAGTTTCCCTAAATATCTGTAAGGGCACTTTCAGCTCTGCCATTGTGACTCTATGATCTGCCTCTCCAGGAAGTCATGATAGGACAGACCCCTCCTCCCGTCCCACCTTTCCCCCACGTCCCCCTTACTTCTTGGTTCCATAAATCCAGGCCACAGCGATGTTCTCAAGGATGACAATGACAGTGAGTGGCAGGGTGGCCGAGTAGTCATCGAACATGGTGACAAAGTAGTTTCCGGAGCGCTGGACGAACAACAGCCCCACGAAGAATGCAAAGACACAGCAGCCCACTACAGAGAGCCGGGAGGCCGGTGTGGGGGCAAAGGTGCAGGGTGGGTGGGGCCCGGGGGGGTCTCGGGGGCACCCAGGCCCCTCCCATCACATCCCTCCCCCAAGCAGGCCAGCATCCCCCCTGCCATCAGGCCCGGTCCTGCACCAGGGATCCAGATAGCGATGTTGTGAGCCCTGCTCTACTAGTCGGGGAGCAGCTGAGGAAGGCATGGTGTCTAACTTGGCACACTGCCTGTGGCATGTGCTCTACTTAAATGCTGCATTTAACTTCAATGATTCATCTGGTTGTTTCGAGTCTTTTTCTCCATCCTAGTTTCCCCATTGGAGAACAGAAAGATATCCCCTCTGGGGATGCAGCTGAGAGGTATTCCTGTATGGAGCCCAGATCAGCTCAGCAGACACCGAAGGGAACTGTGGACACAGCCTGGGACCAGGAGTGACAAAGATGGAACAGGGTGCAAGGCCGGTGAGTGCCCCTGCCCAAGACAACTCAGCGGGCCCTTGGGGAGAGGGGCACGTGAACCAACAAAGGGCCTAGGCCTCCTGGCTCCTGTTTGGTCCAGTCGATTTCCAAGTAGCTTTCTCTTCCCGGCTTGTGAGTCACTGGGTGGCAGAGCCAGGCTCCAGCTGTGTCCCGGTGGGGGGGGCGGAGCTTTCTGGGTGTGGGGTCCGGAAGGACCCAGTCAGAAGCCAGAATGGGACTGTTGTTCACAAGGGCGGCCTGCAGGGCCTGGGCATAGGGGGCAGGGAGGAGTTACCTGTGAACATCTCCTTGGGCACCTTGAAGGTGTCGATGATGGGCGTGGTGATGCCCGCCATGGTCCCGATCATGCTGCCCAGGCCCAGGTTGATGAGCATCAGGAAGAACATGACAGACCAGAACGGGGAGGCAGGGAAGTGCGTCATGGCCTCAGTGAAGGCGATGAAGGCCAGGCCTGTGCCCTGCACGGACTGAGGGAGGGGTGGAGAGCAGGACCCATGAGGCCACCCCTTCTCAGGGAGCCCACCATTTTCTCCCCTCCACCCTTCAAGCTTTTGGAATTATGATTCCCTCTTTCATGGGGGTTCCCACCCCCACCTAAATCCTGTTGATTTTGGCCAGTGGGTCTCATATTTTAGCAGGCATCAGAATCTCCTAGGGGTAGCTCAAAAACAGCAGCTTGGGAGTTCACCTGTGGGACCTGAATCTACAGGTTGTACCAGGAACCCAGGTGATTCAGACGAAGTTGCTCATGCTCAGAAATACACCCAGCTCATGACCCTCCTCCTCTAAGATGTCTTCCCTGATTGCTCCAGCCACACTGTGGCCGCTCCCAGCTCAGAACTTCTGAACTGAAGATCTTGATGTGGTGGTCCCAACCTCGGCTCTCAATGGAGCCTTTAAAAACACCAACACCTGGGTCTCACCCCAGGGACAATGCCTGGATTGGTCTGGGTCTGGGTGTTGGAGTTTTTTTTCAACCCAGGAACTAATGGGTAGCCACGATAGAGAATCACTGCCTTAATGCTTGGGCCCCTGCTTGTGGGTCAGGTGACCACACACTGCCCCCTGTCACTTATACATTGCCCTGCAACGTTCAGTGATTGTAAGGGAATATTTTTTCCCTAAGTGAGTGTATAATTCTTGTCATTTGAATGCTATCGGAGTTGTACTGTATGAAAATGCTGCTATAAACCTAGTTTTCTTCAGAGAACCAGGCCATGCGCATGAGAACTGGGCAGGGTTTCAGAGCATGTAGAAAGGGGAGGTCCTTTGTGCGGCTAGGGCAGGGGTCCTGAGATTAGCCTCTTTTGCCCTTGATCACCTGGGAAGGGGCTGGGGTGCAGGATGCGGCTCCCTCAGCATTAGGACGGTGCCAGTCCAATGGAACTAACTTTTATTTGTATTTGTATTGATTTATTTATTTTTGAGATGGAGTTTCACCCTTGTTGCCCAGGCTGGAGTGCCATGGCATGATCTCGGCTCACTGCAGCCTCTGCCTGATGGTTCAAGTGATTCTCCTGCCTCAGCCTCCCAAGTATCTGGGACTACAGGCATGTGCAACCACATCCAGCTAATTTTGTATTTTTAGTAGAGACAGGGTTTCTCCATGTTGGTCAGGCTTGTCTTAAACTCCCAACCTAAGGTGATCTGCCTGCCTTGGCCTCCCAAAGTGCTGGGATTACAGGCATGAGCTACTGTGCCTGGCCTGGAACTGACCTTTAACATAGAGCTCAGACTTTTAACATGGAGTCCAGGGAAAGCACCCCTCTCCCAGTCCCATGAAGCACAGGGTTGGCCTGGGCTGACAGGAGCTGGCTCTGCCCCATGGGAGCCTTGGTTCCAGCCTGGTTCCCAAGATGCTGTAGGTGTATCTCTTTCCTGTTACCCCTTCTAACAGAATAGTCATTTTGAATGTGTCTAGCTATGCAAGTATAAATAGAAGCAAGGTGTCCTAACTTAGGCCTGAGCATTAAGAAGGAGTCAGCATCTGCCAGCCCCAACCTAAAGTCTAAGTGTCATTGTGGCAGGGAGACTGAAGTGGGGACAGCTGGAGAGGGGCAGAAGCATCAGGGGTGGTTCTGAGCATGGGCTCTGCACCCAACTACCTGGATTTGAACCTGCCTCTCTCACTTACTAGTTATGAGACCTCGATCGAGCCACCCACCTTCTACGCTACTCATCTGTAAGGCAGAAAACATGATATGAATACCCAGCTCACAGAGCTGTCACGAGCGCCAAAGGAGACACACAGCAATGTGCAGGCACTAACTCCAACACGTCTTCGATGCTTACCATGTCGAGGCACCGTTCCGAGTGCATTACCTATGGCAGTGACTGGTGCCTGAGAAGCCCACTCAGTAAATGGAAACACCATCCCGTACGCTTACTGTGATTTCGGAGAGGTGTGTGTCTGTCTTACTCCTTGTCTAGGCTCAAGCCCACCTCTGGGCAGGGACTTTGGCCAATACCTTTCTTCCCTTTCTCTCCCTCTGGACACATAGCAGGTCCTCGCTTACTAAGTAAAGTAATCACCGCCTGTCAGCATCCTAAGGCCTGAGTGCAAGCTCCAGCCGGCCCCAGCTGCTCTCTGGGTTCCTGCCTGTCCTGGGAAGGGCAGCCTGTCCCCACACCTTGTCCAGCTCGTCCTCCAGAAGGCAGGGGTCAAGGCCCAGGGCTGAGAACTGGTCCTCCTTCACGGTCATGATAACATTGTACATCTCCATGTAGTCCTTTGTGGTCAGGTGGGAGAAGTTGACGTGGGGTGGGATGAGGTCCCGGCTCAGGACGTTGGTGTTGAGGTACCCTAGGATTTTCTCAGCATTTCTGCAACACAAAACAGAGAGGGCCAGGTAAGAAGGCAGGGGTGGGCAATGGGTGAGATCCTGGAGGCTCCTCCCAGGCACCAAGTGAGGCCCTCATGGGCCACCGACAGAGACATCTCTGAGCTTGTCCTTGTGGCCTGGAGCTGGGGACAGAGTGCTCCTCTGATCTCCATTCCTCAGCCCGAGTGGAGGGGACCTCTCCCCAGGTACACCCCCCTGCCCACTCCTGGGTAAGGTAGACGGGGAGAAGGAGGGACAGGAGAGATGCCACCTACTCGACCACACACTTCTCATTCATGATATTGGCCTTGAAGCCCAGCACAGCAAACACCACGAGGGTGGCCAACACCGACGTGAAGAAGTTGATGAAGGACACCAGGGCGGCATCAAAGTGGCAGTTGTTGTCCTGCTTGTTGTAGCTGGAGAAGGCAATGACACCACCAAAGCCCAGGCCCAGGGCAAAGAAGACCTGGGTGGCTGCCTCCCGCCACACCTGGGGGTCCAGCATCTTGTCCAGCTATGGCGGAGGGCCAAGGCAGGAGGAAGAAAAGAGACACAGAGAAGATGGTTTTATTCACAGGCAAACCCCGTTTCTTAGCCTCAGCAGAGTTCAGAGGCAACAGGCCATGGTGGTAAGAAGCTGTGTGACCTTGGGCAACTTCCCTGACTCTTCTGAGCCTCAGTTTCCCCAATATGCAGTAACAAGAGTATCAACCTCAGAGGATGATGGTGAGGCCTCAGCAAGATAACGTAGCTGAGTGCTTACATCGTGATTTTAACTGCTGCTGTTGCCACCATACTAAGGAACCATTAAGGCCATCACATACACTCAGGTAGTGCACAGCTCTAGAGAGTGCTGTTCACTTAGACTAGCGTGACAGGTGCCTTCTAGAGTCCTGCAAGGAACAGCCTGCACAGCAGCACAAGAAAACAGAACACCAGAATCTCCCTGACGCCCCCTCCATCTCAAACTCCTCTACTTCATGGAAGAAAAAAAACCCAAACCACCTAGTTCTCCCCCACACCGCCCCCCACCCGCCGCCACTACCCAACCTGAAGCACAGAACCTAGACGCTTCCTGGAGAAGCGCCCCCACCTAAGCCTCCATCTGCCCTCAGACCTGACAGGAGCCTGAACCGCGACAGCATCTGGATGGCATGGGGCAATTTCCAAAGCCCCTTTCAATCTCATTTCTCTTTTATTGTTTCTTCCTTGGGACAGGGACCAAGCCTTGGACCCAGCACAGAGCTGTAGAGTCTCAGACAGATCCAGACCCAAACCCTGACTCCCGTCTTTAAATGGTTGTGAAGCCTTAGGTAGGTGGCAGTTACTGTGTTATGAGCCTTAGTTTACTCATCGGAAAAAAGGGAATAGTAATACAGTCTCGGTCTCAGAGTGAATGTGAGGATCAAATGCACAGCAACACGTAACGCCTGTACATGGTGGCGCTTCACCCTAACAAAGTGACGCTGGCCTAGGCAGGACAGGGTATTTTGTGCGTTGTTGGGGGCAGGGAGCAGGGGTTACTAGTCACATTTTTAAAGGGTAGACTGAGAACCCAAAGATGAAATTACAGGTAAGAGAGCTGGTTAGTCAGGGCAAAGTGATCACTAAAATAGAGATATTCTGGGCCAGGTATCTATCCCCAACGCCAGCACCAGCTTCTGACTCAGTTTGCCTATCACCTACATTATTTTTCTTTTTTCTTTTTTTTTCTTTGAGATGGAGTCTCACTCTGTCGCCTAGGCTGGAGTGCAATGGCGCGATCTCCACTGTAACCTCCGCCTCCCTGGTTCAAGCAATTCTCTGCCTCAGCCTTCTGAGTAGCTGCGATTACAGGAACCCACTACCACGCCCAGCTGATTTTTGTATTTTTAGTAGAGATGGGGTTTCATCATCTTGGCCAGGCTGGTCTTGTACCCCTGACCTCGTGATCCAGCTGCCTCGGCCTCCCAAAATGCTGGGATTACAGGCGTGAGCCACCGCGCCTGGCTGCCTATCACCTATACTCTTTAAAGCATTTTCCCCTGCAACCTTTGCTGCTGAGGTGAACCTAAGTGACCTCACTCCAGACAGACTGAGGGAGGCAAGGAGCCAGCTAGAGAGTGCACGTCCCTGTGGTGACAAGCCCTGTGTGGCTCTGGGCCGGGATGCCCCTTCTGAGTACCTGTGGGTAGGTCCTCATCTGAACAACGAGGTGCTGGACTTTAGGGTCTGTCTGGACGTTAGCTGTCTTTAATATCACCGCCCTAAATAACAACCAGGACACAGGGTGCACCTGCTGCCATCTCAGCAGCTTCCCAGGCACATCTGAACATCTGGCGACCCTCCACCAGCTAAGAAGTTGTTGGCACGCTCAGAGGGCTGGCAGGGCAGTGAGGCTGAGGGTGGTACCTCCATGCTGAGGGGAAAGAGGTGGGGAATGGCAGGTGAGCCTTTGAGCTTCAGGGCCTGGGCACAAATCGAGACTCAGGAGGACTGTCTGGTCAGAGAGTCTGTGTACTCCAGGGGAGGTTAAGGCCCCCCATCCAGCACAGAATAAGGAAAACCATCTTTAGTCCACCAAGAAAGCCCGGAACACAGGCCTTAAGGATCTAAGGGCCCCTTGGAATCCACTAGGAGACCCTCTCCCCAGACCACCCCTGGGTACTTATTAGGTGTAAGATGTCAAGGCCTCCCTGTAGCAATGGCATGTAGCTACTCATCCATCAGTCTCTGAGCACCTGCTGTGGGCCAGGCCTGGTGCTAGGTAATGCAGAGACCCAGGAACAGAGGCAAGCAGGGTCTCCATCCTTGTGAAGTTTACATTCGAGTTGGAGAGAGGCACACTGGTCAAATGGTCCCACAAACAAATGCTAAATTGCAAATGTGACAAGGGTTGTGAAGGCTGGGCACCCAGTGCTCGAAGAGCACATAACAAGGGGGTTTGAACAAATTGGGAGGCCTGGGGAGGCTTCGTAGAGGAAGGGGTCCTCAAGCTGACATCTGAAAGCTGATGAAAGTGAGGCTACGAGGGGAGGGAAGAGCACTGGGCAGAAGGAACAGCATGGGCAGAGGTCCTGAGATGGGACAGAGGCTGGTGTGGAAAAGGGAGTGGAAGACGCCAGGGTGGCTGGAGCAGTGAGGGCAAGGTAGGTGGCACGGGTGGGGATGGGAGAGGAGAGAAGTTAGATCAAGGGCCTGTAGAGATCTTGTCTTCACCCTGAGAAAGCAGCCAACCTGAGAAGCCACCATGGGGTTTGAAGAAGCAGAGACACAACCATCTGCATTTCCAAAAGAAATAAGTGGATGCAGCAGACCTTCCAGGAAGTGCCTTCTGGGGTCTAGGCTGGAGGGGACAGTGGCTTTGCTAAGGGGTGGGTGGTGCCAATGGAGAGACCTTAGGGATGGACTGGAGATGGGAGATGCTGGAGAGGAAGAGGCTGAGGCTGAAGTGAGGGCCATGTCTCTGGCCTGCATACCTGAGCAGGTGGTGATGACGGGGACAGTGGGAGAGGAACAGGTCGATGGTGTTGGGCAGGGAGGATCAAGACATTAGTTCTAGAAAGGTTGTGTGATATAGCTGGCCTAGAATTAGAACCAGTACAATGCCATTTTAAAATGGGAAAACTGTTTCCATTCTCCTCACAATGACTGCTAGCCATGGCTTCTGTAAACTACTAAGATTACGTTGCAAAATGCAAAGAGAGGACAAGCTGCAGACTTTCTCTTATCTGTAACTGCCAGAATTGCTGGCCTTTGTTTACCAAAGTAAGCACCCCCAGATAATGCCATCCTGGCGCCAAGTAACCTAAAATTATGTGGACCCCACACCTGTCCAAATAATGTATAAACTAATGTTTATCTTGACCTCTGTAAACCACTTAAGTGGCAATCGGAATGACAAAAGTCCCCTGGCCCTTGGAATATCTGGAGCCCCCTCACCCTCATCTCAGCCTAGGAGGTGATTGACAGCTTTCATTCCCATCTCCGTTCCTCGCCCCCACTCCCAAGGTGGTTTTGTGGGTATAAAAAGGTCTTGTCACTCTACTTTCTCTGCCACGGGTTGGAGAGACGTGAGTCCTCCGTGGTCGCCGGCAATAAACCCTGCAATTTGGCATTCTTTTGTTCTGGTGTTGACTTTCTGTGCTAAGTTCAATGCAACAGTTGAACTGAATGTGTCTTTAAGACCATCTAAAATGAAATGCCAAGTAGTCCGCTGGACAGATGAGCTGGGAGTCAGAGAGAGGCAAGGTGGAGATAGACTTTCTGAGTAGCAGGTGTGGGGCAGCAGCTGAGGCTGTGGCTGCAGTTACAGAGGGAGAGACAAGAGACTGGAGCCGTGTCTGTCTCCAACACTAAGGGCAGGGAAGAGGGAGAGTCTCCTGAAAGGGACTGAGAGAAGGAGAAGCAGCAGAGGCAAGAGGAAAACCCAGAGAGGCCTGGGTGGCGGAGGAGAAAGAGTCAGTGCTGTCAGTGAAAGACCCTGAGGGAGTCTGCACAAGGCTTCAGGGGCATCCTCAGAGTTGCTCCCTGTCAAGAAGCCGGGTGAAATAAAGAAAGGAGAGGAACTGGAGGCAACGTGGAGAAGCAGGTCCTTGGGGAAGCAAGCCTGGGATCAGAAGGGCAGTATCAGGAGGAAGTTATGAAATCAACAAAGGGTTGCATTTTTTTATGTTGTCTTGATTTCATTTTTGTTTTTGTTTTCAATGGAGTGTCTCGAAAAGCTGGATGGGCAGGGATGGCGGGGAGGCTGTCCTTCATAGGCTCACCCTTGGGCTGCTGATGTGAGAGAGGGAGGACAGGATGGGGTAGCTGCAGGCAGGTTTTATGGCTGGTTTCTGTCTCTGTCATCTGAGGGAGTTTCTTGGCAGCTTCTGTTTTTCCTGTAAAGCAGGAGGCAAAATCATCTGCTGGGGATGAGTGTGCCGGAAGGGAGGTCAGAGGGTGTGGAGGATTGGAAGGGTTTAAAATAGCCACAGTGGAGCGTGGGAGAACCAGGTGACCAGAGAAACAGGGCCGGGCTGTCCAGGACTGCTGGGGGCCCACCACCCTCGCACAGGCGGATGTCTGGTTTTTAAAGATGAAACCTTAGCTTCTTTACAAAAGTAATACAGGCCCAAGGTTCCTTATCTAAAAGCCCTGGGGCTGACTGGTTTTGGAATACAAGCTTTTGTTTCTAATTTAATTTGAGAAAGGTAACGTGGTGCCTATGCTACTTAATTACCTAACACCCCAGCGGGGTCTGGGGCAGCACCCCGTAATCAAACACATTAGTATTTCTGCTGCAAAATATGAATATTCACACCAAGTGAATCAATAAAGACTATAAATAGCCTCACATCTGTGCAGGCCATTTTGCTTCCAAATGAGTTCTGGAGGATCAAAACCAACTTTTGTTTGTGGGGCCATTTGGATTTTGGTATTGTGGATAAGGAAATAGGGCTTGTACTGTGCTTAATAGAAATTTGGAGACTAGAAAAGAAGAAAATAATCATAGTTCCACTGGGAAAGGACTTGTGTGAATTCCCATCTTTT